CCCCAAAACCCCAAAACCCCAAAACCCCAGTTTGACCAAACCCCAGGATATATTAAAAAGTCACCAAGTGCAAAATATGGAGGAAGCAGGATTTAAGCCAAAGCAGTAAAAATACGAAATTTAGCCAAAATTTAATAATTAGCAATTATTTTCACTCCTCCAAGCTGGTTTTCTTCAAAGACTTGTTCAACTTTGTTTTGGTCTACTCTGCAGAAAAAGATATTTACTTTTTCAAGACTCAATCTTAAATCTGGAGAGCTTGCTAACCCTTGTACCAAGTTCTCGAACTCGTTGAAGTTGTTCTTCCAGTCACTTCTAGACGAGTCTCCTCATTCGAACAAATATATTTCCTGGATTTGGCAGTTCTTCAGAGCCTTTGACAAATCAGGAACACTTGGGATAGATAGTCAGCAATATTCCAACACTAAAGTTCTCACATGCCTGAAAGCTGCCACCAGCCTCTTGAGTTGGGGCAGGCCAATGCTGAAAGATTTAAAGGAAACTAGTTGAACGACTTTGGAGCTGAGTCTGGTCATGGAATTTAAGTAATTGGACCTTTTCAGATCCATTTGGCCCCTGGATAAAAAATCGAGTTTCTTAATTTTATTTGGGAATGAGGATTGTAAGAAATTTAAAGCACAACGCCTATTTTTAGAATCAATCCTTTCCAAATAAAGCCAATCTATATCAAAAAGCTTAAGGCATTTCAAACTTTTCAAAAGTTTTTCATCTCTGATTTTGTCCGATCAAATGTCAAGCCCGCTGTTGTTTGAAACTTCTTCGGAGTCTGGGTCCAATGGCTCAACTTCTTGATCTGGACGACCCTTATAGAGGATGCTCTGGCATGTGATGACGTTTTGCTCCTTAGCTTCTGCCAGGACAGACTTCTCTAGACTACACAATTAGAGGCGAACGGGGAGGTAGATCAGTGTCAGAATCCGTCAGAAAGTTGGAGATGAAAGGGTGCTAATTTAGCTTTTAAGAAATCCCAGGTTTAAATCTTTAGGAGAAATGTTATCTGTGTAGGTCCCAAATAAATCTTAGAGAGGCAAGGCTTATAAACTCTCTCTAGTTTTGTCATGAACTTCTCTGCCAAGAAATTTTCGGTGAAATTATTATAAAAGTTGGCAAATTTTGGTTAAACGTTAAAGTTGAGGAACTTGTTACAAATTCAAGAGTGAAAACTCAGAGTTCTCTAAAACTAAGTTTACAGTTACCTGATTTTCTGAATATTTTCTTCTTCGATAGCTTTAGTAAGACTTTCCATTTTATTATTATAAAAACTTAATTTAAAATTTTATTTTTCAATATATTTGAAGAGGAGTGGGGTTTTGGGGTTTTGGGGTTTTGGGG